TTATATATAATCATTGACGTACATAAAAGACTGTATTCATATTAAACATTGATCAGAATGATTTGGCTTGACATTTTATCACCAATTACATAATTCATTATTTTACAAAGACATCTAAAATGAAAGACATATTTTTCGGAATGTAATGTACATAAACTAAAATAATTTAGTTATTATTAATTTACTGACGACACATATTACATAATCGATCAGTATTGAAAGATATGATAAATTTAATATAGAATTTAGACATGCAATTATAATGTTACATAATTTATCAAATTATAATGTTAATATATTTTTTATATTTATTTGTATAGCATAGGTATCCGATTATATTTGGAAATTTAACATAAATTCTACATTTTTAGTAACATTATTATAATAATTAACTTTTATTATAAAAAAAAATACAAAAGCCTTCAAATAAAAAAAGCAGCTTTTAATATTATTGAGCTTCCATTAAATCGCTTTGGGAATCTATTTCTAAATCTGCTCGCTTTTTATCTTCTGTTTTAGAAATTGGAAGTTCTATTTCTTCTGCCTCGATATCTTGTTCCTGAAAAAAATAATGAATATTTTTATATAAAATATTTTATATAAAAGATAATATGCTACAGATAAATCATTTTTATTATTTGTTCAGTCACGTAGATGATTTGTACATTTTCATTTTGTACAGGAACTTCTTGATTCACAACTTGCAATGGTTCAATGGATGGTAACTCTAAAATTTTCTCGTAAAGTGATATGTATGCATTCCTCATATAACTTTGTTGCTGATCGCGAATCTTTTTTCTCATATTATGCTTTTCCACTTCCGGTAAAACAAAATTGTAAATCATATCCGCTATCAATTCCTCATCTGCTAATTTAGTAGCGCTGCGAAAATATTATTGTGTTTTACACATTCTTTTGATAAAATTATTTGTTTACATTTATTAGTTATCAATGCTCAATCATATCTTACTTTTCTGCGGCATGTTTCGTTACAGCGTCCACTTTATCGCAAATTTCTGAAACATGTTCTTTAGCAGCCTTATCGGATATCCAATCGATTTCTTCTCTCACAATATCTTCCAAGTACGCTTCCACTGAGTCTTGATTTACTTTTATAATTTGCTTGAACATTTCATCAAATTCTCGTCGTCGGTTACGTTCTGCTTGTCGCCTGCCAGCTTCGGCGGCTTCTCTCATACATCTTTCTCTTTCAGCAAGCAAGGCAAAGGCATGAGCTCTACGTTCATCCTCTAATCTTATTAACTCCTGCAGATAATGCAGGAGATAATCAAGTGAACTGTTTTGCGGTAATTAGATTACAAAACTTACCTTGCTAAGAAAATCTAATATCCCACAGATTGTCTTCCCCTCTAAGGAATCAAGAATTTCGCATAAACGATTTTCCTGCATTGATTGATGTTTTTGTAATTGTCGCAAATTAATCATATGTATCTTTTCATCATAATCTTCGTGTTCGAGCACTTGAGTCGATTGTAATTCCTCGATTAGTTCTCTACATCTATTGCGTCCTTGGTACATCTGTAGCATAATAAATATAAAATATCTTTCTCGTATTATACAACTCTATAGAATCTTGTTTTCTGTATCTATTTTAAAAGTACAATGAATGATCGGATAATTTACCAGACACTGTATCGCTCTGCCTTTAACAAGCTTCTGAATAAAGATAGCAGATTCTTCTCGTTGTTTCTGCTTATTGTCCCACGTTCCCGATCTGCGTGGTGTGGTAGGTAAAACTAGCTGTTCGTGACGCTTTACTAATCTTGGGCCTTCGTCTACAGATTTGACTTTCATTCGAATAGCTTTCAAATCGGAATGAAGCTGCTTTAGTTTTTCCTCCGTCCATCTGGTTTCTCGTATACAGATGTCTATCGATTTAGGTTTATGTTTAATTACTTTTGGTTCTTCGATAGTGGGTAGCCAACTAAGTATTGCATCTTCTTCTTCTTCTAAATAACAATTGCGATGAATTGAATAGCAGCAATTGCGTATTAATTACAATAAAATAAAATTAAATTTATACTCACGCTCAATATGATATTCACGTGAGAGTTGCTTCGGTAAAATTTCGTGCCATCTCTGGGGATGTTCACCGAAACGCATTTGCGGTGCATACAGGTCAGACTTGAGATCGATATGCCGTTCAATTATATCGGGTTTACGAGATTGATGTTCATTGCGATGTTTCTTGTGTAATTTTCGCAGATCTCGTTTAAGATTATATCTGATAGCCTTAATTTGATTGTCTCGATATTTGCTTAGTTTGCTTCTAAGTCTACTGAAACGACTCTGCACTTTTTTCTCGTATTTTGATTCATGACTTTGTAGAAGATTTCTCATTAAGTCCAGACGTAAATCCATTATGAATTGAATCTCCTAAAATTATAATTAAAGAAGGAAGAAACGTAGATATTATATTAGGTAATCGGATTGAGAGTTTTATCATACTTATTTATTATATAATTAAAGAAAAAAGATATATATATATATATATATATATATATATATATATATGTGTAACAGATAAATGATTGAAATTCTTCTTTATGTTTTGAAATACTCACCGATTCTCGAAAAGCCCATTCGTCTATCTCTAAGGCCGTTATTATCGAATTTCGCATTTTTATATTGGCCGGTGTATCTATCGGCGGTAGAATAGCTTCCCAAGCTCTTTTTATCCGCATCCTGTTGATAATGTGTATCTCATGGACACCTGCAGGTAGTCCATGCTCCCAAGTTAGATGAGCTAATGTCAATACTTCAGGATTATGACCTAAATGAAAATTAATATATTGTAAAGTTCTCATTTTAGCATTTCCAGCTTTTATTTTTTCTGCTTTCTTGATTGATTATGTATTCTATATGAATCTGATACAGTATGCTGCAGACTGCAATATAATTATTACCTGGAACAATTTTGCATGGTGGCTCCCAAGGTTCAGTTTGTGCCTCACTTTCTCTATAATCCGTCTGCGTTTCTGCATTTTTGTACGGTTTCGATTTAGAGAATGCAGTGTAACACCGCCTCTGTGTATTTTGTAGAATTCCATACAGAGTCTTGTGCTCCAAACAATGTGGCAAGACATCTGCGGTCTGTACTTCTGATGTTACAAAGGGTACCATAGATTTTCGAAAATGCTTGTACATATCTCCGCTAATAGATCCGATCGTTTTATCTTGTATAGACATTCTATAAAGCCACAGAGTTTAAATTTTCTCTAACTTGATCGATATCTTTGATAGAAAAGTAATATTTTGAATATACAAGATACTTGATTGAATAAGAGAATATTCTTAGAATAAGAACAATAAGCGAAGATTTACCCAAAATTTAAAGAATAATTGCATAATTTGCATTTTACTAAAAAATCATCCCTGTAATCTTGAAACTTCTTGTTATCTAGAGTTTCGGAATATTCACATATTCGCTAGAAAAAAATATAAATGTTAGTAAATTTAAGAAGAATTGTATGTTCATATTCAAGTCTCACAAAAGTACGCTCTATTAATAAACACTTACAAATAGATTGGTTTTCCGAACATTTTTATTGCTGCACACAGTATAAGTATAATCCGCTAATGCATCATTAAAAAATTGTTAATTACGGACTAACCGTTAAACTTATATGACATATGTATCTTACGACGTTTCATGCTTCTTTCCGCTGTAATTTGCATTGTACTTAATTGCAGCTTACTATATGCTGCATTTAAACTGTTTGGCTTATCCTATTCTTGCAAGAGTTATAAGAATAAAGTATCTATCACGCATAAAAGTAACAATCAAATGAGAATGTAAGAAGCAATAAGAAGACTTAATAAACCAATATTGATCAAACCATGGATCAAGTATGCCATAGCAACGAAAATATATAGGAAGAATTAATATACAGAAAGTTGATCAATTAATACATATTTTATATTCTTCGAATACTTGTATTACACTTAACAGTGATTAAATGTTTACATTTATATTATCCTATAAACGTATTTTATGAATTTTCAAAAAAGGCAATAGCATTTAAAAACTTTATGTAATTAAATTATTTTTCCTGTTCTTTAAATTAATAGAAAATGCATGTAAGAAGGCATATAAATCGATAGCACCAGAATATATCTTTGTTAGTTACATAGAATATTTGTATCTGCTGATACAATTAATATACATCAGATTGTATAACTATGTAATATTTGATTATCAATATATGATAACATATAAGTATATAATGGGCGTTTTCTAATGAATTGAAATATTAATCATATATATATATATATAT